CACCACCACCACCACCACCACCACTACGGCACACCCCTTACGAGCTTCGTGGCCCAACAGGGAGCTCCACCGAGAGCGGCAACCACAACGCGGTGTTCACAACTGCATATGGTTGGGTCTCCTTCGCCAGGATCACGTAGGCAGGATGAAAAACCTTGGGTAGGTGGTATAGTAGGAGCTGGTTTTAGAAGTGATCACGGAGCAGGGGAGGGCGGGAGGGGGGGGGAGGATAGAGGATGGAGAGTAGGAGGCGGGGGAGGGGGGAGGACGGAATCAGTGGGCAGAGGCGGGGAGAGAGAGGAGTAGAAGGGACGAGAGGGACGAGGAGAGGGAGACGTCTTTCCTTCTCGTCCCTCGTTCTCGTGTCTCGTCCTCGTTCCTTGGCTCTCCATTCCGAAACGATCCTTTCAAGTGTAAAGCCGTCACAGGCTCAGTCGATAGATTGTCCAGCCGCACCCTCGACGGTAGTATTCAATGTGCCGACACGTTGAGTGTCGTAGGTGTTGTGAATGAACCAAGACAGGAGGTGGAGACGGACGTTGAGTAGGAGGGTGTGATGGGGTAGAGTAGGGAGAGGGAGGAGGTCGGGGAGGGAGAAAGGCAGGAGGGGGTGATGACTCTCTCCGTAAGAAATCCCGCCCTCTGCGCGTTTTGTTTTCCACACGCAGGATTCCAAACGCTGTTGCTCTCCCAACTTGATGTGAATTTTCCCGAATCCAATTGTGGTCGGTCCTTAGAAAACCCACTGCAACACCGCCCTCATCTCCAAACTGTCTGCCTTCCAGTATGGTGTTCTGGCTGCACCGTTCATGCAACCATGGTGTGCAGGTCAATGCTATGATATGGCAGCGCGTATGCGATTATATGGCTTACGCTGCAACCTTGTAATATGCAACGCTGGGCAATGCAATGCCATGTTATGCAATGCCATACGATGTTATGTGATGTGACGCTTTGCGATGCCATGCTTTGCTCTTTAATACTATACTATGAACTGCTTGACTACGCAAAGCTATGCCATGCGATGCATCGCGTACCCATCGTCGTCCTCTTCGACATCCGACTGTGCGAATACAGAGGGGGTCTACACAACGGTAATAGATGGGAAGGAAATTCAGAACGTCAGATGCGACGCAAGCGCACCTAGCTTGTCCTCCCTCTTTTTTCCTCCTCCTCCTCCTCATCATCATCTTCCTCCTCCCCCTTCCTCCCCCCTCCTCACCCGTCTCTGGTCTCCGCCTCGTCCCCCCCCTGGCTCCCCTCCTGCATCCTCCCACGTTCCTCCTTCCCAATAATCCTTCCCCACCTCCTACAACCCTGCTCCGCCCGCCTCCTCCTCCTCCTCCTCTTCCTCCTCCTCATACTGGTCCTCCTCCCCCTCATCCCCCCCCCCTCTCCGCGTGCTCCTACCTCCTCCGCCCTCGTCCTCCTCATACTGGTCCTCCTCCCCCTCGTCCCCCCCCCCCCTCTCCGCGTGCTCCTACCTCCTCCTCCCTCGTCCTCCTCTCGTGCTCCTGCCTCCCCTCCCCGCCCCCCCCCCTGCCATCCCCCGCCCTGCCCCCCTGCGAGAGCCACGCGCGGCCACCGAGAGCCCGCTGGCCACCGCGGCCACCACCCGCCCGCCCCGAACCACAGCGGGAGAAGACGCACGGCAGCGGCCACGGGGGACAGCCGGCCACGGCCGCGGCCCCTCGACCTCGCTCGCCCTCTGTGAGTGGGGCCGAGGGGCACACAAAGAAATACACACGAATCCCAGGATTCCCCACATGTTCCGATCTATTCTCTGGGTGCTGGTCTCCCCTCCCCACTCCCCATATTTTCCCAGATTTCCTGGGAGGCGACGATTCGTTGTGTCTGTGTGTCTTGTCCCCTCCTGACGCTGGGCAGGCACGCGGCGCCGCAGCCCACGCGCCCTCCGCGTGCCGGCACGGTCGGGAGCGTGATTTTTGTTCTCACGGCGTGCCGCGGCGGCGGCCCCCAGCGCCGTGCTGTGCCCTGTACGCAGAGGTATCGGGGAGACGTAAGACCCGGGTACGGGGGACTCGGAAATCCCCGACGAGGTCGTCAAAAAAATGACGAGGCCGAGCCTGCATTTTGACGAGGCCTCCCGCTGCAGACATCCCACGAAACTCCTCCTCGTCAAAATCCGAGTCGCGGTCGTCAAAAAACGATGGCGAACCCGAGTCCCGGCAAACCCGGGTCTTACGCTCCCCCGAAGGTATGGCGTGGGGCTCCGCGGCGCGGGGCGATGGCCGGGAAAGGCTCGGGACATGGACGCTCGTGGATCGAAGAACTCCCCAGCCAGCCCCTCCGGCCCACCCACCCTACCGTAGCCAGGTTGGCCCCAGTGCGCCAGAAGTGGCGCAGTTCATGGGTCACCGAGCCGTCGGGCTGCTCCCTTGCACTGAAGAGTGCAGCGAGCGAGTGCATGTTGCGATGTCGTGCGTGTTTTTTTTCGCAAAGTGATGCAGGATGCTTCTCGATGGTCCTCGCCAAGAAAGAATACACACTTGGCGGCGCGCACCGGGGGGTCGGGGGAGGCGGGAAGGCTTCTTGGAAGCATGCTGCTTCTTAGAAGGCGCTGGCCTAACATGTATAGAGAAGGCCCGCGCCTTCAGGGGTGCTTCTAAGAAGCCTTCCCGCCCCTCCCTCTACCCCCCTCTGCGCGTGGCCGCAACAATACACACGTCCGAGCCATGCCAAGCTGACCACCCTCAGCCTGGGGCAGCCGTTTTTCCGTACCGTGGGTGAGCGTGTCGAGTCCGTCGCAGGCCCTCGAGGAAGGATGGAGGCCGTCGCGGGCTTCGGACAGAGCCTGGGCACCCCTGCTTCTTCTTGGCGGCGCGCACAAGTAGGGGAACGAGCAATGACATAAACATAAAAACTCTGAGGTCCGCGCGGATTTCTCGGCGCGCGCCAGGGAGGGGGGTCCAGTGCGGAGCCGAGAAATCCGCGCGGACATCCGAGTTGTTATGTTTCTGTCATTGTTCGCTCCCCTAACAAGAGGGGAGGGCAGAATGCTTCTTAATTAAAAAAAGGCTGCTCCTTAGAAGGCGCCGGCAATGCATCTTCAGGCAAGGCCCGCGCCTACTCAGAAGCAGTGATGTTTTTAAGACGCCTTCCCCCTCCCCCTAATTACACCCCTTCTGCGCGTGGCCGATCCTTGGAGGGGGAGAAAGCGGGGGCTGTGACCAAGACTGAACGCGGAAATGTCGTTTCTATCTTGGTCACCGTCCATGCTGGTCAGCGTCAATTCGTGGAGCATTCTCGCGAGTCGGCGACGGCCGGTATGGACCATGATCAAGATCGGCATCGACAAGATCCCGCGACAGCTTGGTCAAGGTCCCCGTGTTTTTTCTCTCGATGTATGGAACCACTGGCGGTGGACTCAGGGGATCAGAGTCCAGGGCGGCAAAGAAGCAGATCACCTCCGTCTCGTCTTCCTGCTCGCCCACCCCCCGACCCCAGAAATGCCCGGCTGCTCTCGGGTGCCTGCAATTTCTCGGCGGTTCTCGGGGGTCGTCGAATCCTCTTCCGGCATCTAGAACTAGAAATGACCAGCGCTTCGAAACGGAGGCGCCCGTTCCCCAATGGGCCCTCCATGAGCAACGCTATGGCCGTCTACACAAGGCGCGCTGGCTGGGTCGCGGGCCCCGGGGCCGTCGAGGATCGGCCAGGCTCGAAGCATCATCGAGACGGTTGCGGGAGCTCCAGCACTATGATGTTTAACGCGTCGAGCGGCCGGGAAATTGTTGCCCTCCTGCTACTGTTGCTGTTCCCCCTCCCCACTACCCGCGCCTGTGAGCAGACAGAAACCACGAGTCCTCAAGCTGGGAACAGGGCATATAAATCGTGCAAGCGACTTCGTGTCCCACAAAATGGACAATGCGCCTGTCAAATAACGGGCTGCGGGCTGACAGCGCCGAGGTCCCGAGGGCACACATGCAGACAATTAAGGCTCAAAGCAGCATCGGCCGAGCACGTCACATTGTTTCAGCAACTACAAACGCCCAAGGCAAGCGGGTGCGTGCGTGCGGTGTCCACCAATTCGGCGATGCCAAGTAGAAGGGCTGAATTGAAGATAGAGGATGACGACACAAATGCTCAACAGCGTTACCAATGTGCCTTCGCATATCCACCTCGGCCACAAAGTAACAACCAGATGCGCAAATGTTGCGTGCGAGTTGAACAGAAACTACACTCAAAATAAAGATGTAGTCGTAGAAACCCTGATAGCGCCCGAAGACACAACGAAAGGAGCGAATGCGGAGCTTGGGGGTCCAAAGATGCTGGCAGCGGTGTGACGACTAACCATTGATCGGAAGAGGTAGGTAGAAACACGAATTTGTAAAGCGTTGAAAGTATATTGGATTCCGTCCGCCCCCAAAGAAGGACGGAAAAGGTGAAGCCACTCGATCATTGAAGTCGGAAGGTGCTTAAAGTAGGTTGTAATCTGGGAGTCCAAACTACCTACTTTCATTGACCGATGGGTAATAGTACCCTTCATGGTAGTCTCCACACTGCGTCTTTTGTGGTACTGGGATGAACTGGCAGTGGGGCTCCAGGTGACTAGAATCGGGTCGCCCATTCAAGCGTTCCTAGCTCGGTAGGCATGCAACTACCTGAGGCAAGCAGCAATTGTACGCCCGCGCCTCCTTTCCCAATGTGCCTGTGCGCGTTCAGATTACACGATGTCGATGAGTCGATGCCGACAGGGCATGTGCGCGCGACGCGATGCAAGCCACTGCTGGAGGGAGAAACACTTGCATATAAACGCACAGAAATGTTTAGAGGTCCGCGCGGACCTTCAACACTTGATGTTTATGCAATGTTGCCATCTTCGAACTGCGCAATCCCACAGCCGTCCTGGCTCGACAGCTTTGGGACATGCAACGAGGACGTTGCCTCTCGACATGCAGCAGGGGCATGTATACATATCCACCCACCAAGGCCGAGGCCGCGGCAGCGTGGAAGCACGAGACGCCGGGGCCTGGTCCAGCTCACTCGCCCGAGCTGCTGACCTGCTGGCGGGAGGTGGAGGACGACGAGACTCCAGAACCCCTCGAGCCATGACAAAATCACGACGGAATGATTTTCGCTCTATTCGGCCTCCGGGGGCCCTAACTGGGCCCTGGGACAATCAAACAACTACTCAGGGAATGGGTCGAGACCTCTCGTGGTCGACTCTTCAAACCTTGCCTTCTTTGTCACACCGTACCGAGCCAATGAAAATACAAGCAGACCCACAGGAAAGCGGGTCACGAACACGAGCCCCCTGCGCCGAATGCCCAGGGCCCCATGGAGATGCCCAAGTCGAGGAGCGTTCCCAGGTGTAGGGCCCGATCACAAAGAACACTAGGGTACCCTTGCAAAGCCAGGGCCGTCTTAACCCTCGTGACTGCCAGCTGGATGCCAAGGATCTGCTACCTTTTGTGTCCTCCCGGCGGCCAGCACGGCCTGGATGGGCTCGAAGGCACCCCGAAGACAGGAGGCAGAAACTCTCCGCCCAGAGAAGCAGGCAGGACAAGATGGATGAGGCCGGCGTGTCCGCGCCACGGCAAAGGCACGCCGCCCGGTGGAAGAAACCCACCGTGCGCATCCCGCTTCGGCATGGAAGCTCGTGCCCAGATGAGCGACGATCCGAAACGGGTCTTGCGCGAGATAGCACAGCGACCTCACGCGGTGGCTCACGCGGGCCGCCAGCGCGGCAAGCCACAGAAGAGACGAGGGCACGCAAGCGCGACCTGACGCGAGCAACTGACGCGCGAATGTCGGCGCAATCGAACCCGCTCTTTGCGGCGCTCAAATACCAGGAGGAGGCTACAGGACTCTGACGAAGCGGCGGGGTTCCTCATCTCCTCGGATCCTTCCGTGTCCCGCCCTCTCTCCTGCTCCTCCTCCTCCTCCTCCTCCTCCTCCTCCTCCTCCTCCTGCTCCTCCTTCTCCTGTAGAGGCACAAAAAAACCGAAAGCATAAGCTGTCTCTCCTGCTCCTGCTCCTGCTCCTCCTCCTGCTCCTCCTCTGCTGCTGGTCCTCCTCCTCCTCCTCCTCCTCCTCCTCCTCCTCCTGCTCCTCCTTCTCCTGTAGAGGCACAAAAAAACCGAAAGCATAAGCTGTCGAAGGTCCGCGCCTCCCGCCCTTGTGGGAACAGACCCCCCGAGCTCTCCGACCAAGCCTGCTCCGACCAGGACTCCGAAGCGGAGCCCAGCTGAAGCGACGAGGGCCCCAATAGGGGATCCCAAACCGGAAGTGAACAGGGCGCCACCCCAAAATTGGGAGAAAGCTCCCTAAGTAGCCAAGCACGAGAGGCATTGCTTTGCACTGCTCGGATTGCCAGTGCGTTGGGCATTGCTTTGATTTGTTTGGCACTGCTTTTCATTGTTTTGAGACTGCTTCGCGTGGTTTGGCATTGCCTTCCATTGCCTGATATTGTTTGACATTGGCTTGCATCGCTTTGCGGTGCTTGGCCAATTTGCTGTGGATTGCATTGTCTGGCATTGCTTGGAATTGCCTGGTATTGCTTGACATTGCCTGCCGTTGTGCGGCGTTGCTTGGTATTGCTTGGCATTGCTCGACAGTGCTTGGTATTGCTTTGCATTGCCTGCTATGGTCTGGCATTCACGTACATTGCCTTGCGTTGCATGGCATTGCTTTGCTTCGCTTGGCACTGCTTTGCATTGCTCAACACTGCTTGGTATGGTGTTGCCTAGCATTGCTTGGTACTGCTTTGCATTGATGTGCATTGGCCTGCATTGGCGTGCGTTGCTTGGCGCTGCTTTGCCTGCTTTGTTTAGCATTGGCTTGCTTTGCATTGCCCCGCCCTGCTCTGCCTCGAGGAAGCCGGGCAACCGAACGAGCTGCATTGAGAGCACCCGGCAACCCGAGCCACTGGGCAACTGTACGGCTGGGCGCCGGGCAACCAGGGAACCGCACAACCCGAGGAGGGCTGGGCAATGGCAGCCGAAGGCTGGGCCTCCAGGCAACCTCGGCGAACGGCTGGCTGGCGCAGACCTGGTCGCACCCACTGGTTCTTCACAAAGGGAACACTAGAGCTGCGCCCCCCCCGCTTCGTCTTCATCTCAGGAGGTCTTCGGTTTTGAGGATCCCCCCCCCGGTTTCTCTCGGCGGGGAAGAAACCTACGCCCCTCATCCTCCTCCTCCTCCTCCGGTTCCTCCTCCTCCTCCTCCTCCTCCCCCTCTTCCTCCTCCTCCTCCGTCGTTGTTGCGCGGCGGGTGCCGCGGAGAAATACATATATCAGATTTTTCACTATTGGTGTGGCCCCCGTCCGTCAGTAAGACAAGCAAAAAACAAATCAAGGCATATGTCGCCGCGCCGATCGTTCTGAACGCGCCCAGATGGACGACGACGACGACGACGAGGGTGACGAAAACGACAACGACGACCACGACGACGACGACGACGACGCCACGGAAAACCCACGGCAAGCCCTGCGCCCCGCGCCCCGGGTATAGACGCAAACGGGCATCCGAGGTGGCTTTTGCCCTGGTGGCCGCGACGCCCTGCCCAAGGCGGAAGGCTGCGCGTCGGAACACACGGCGCGGCGACATATACATTACAGTCTGACCTAGACCAGAACAACATCCCTCAAGAACATGAGATCCTCCGCTGGCCAACACACACACAGGACATGCAAGGGTACGACGCCCCTCAGTGCGCGCGGGGCCCCTCCCAACATATGCACGTCAATGGTCAAATCGAGTCGGCTCTGACGCTCAGACGACAGCGAACGACAGGAGTAAGTCATGAGGCAACTCCTGGGGGGTCTCAGCGGGTGCGATCATGTAAAATACGTTATGCCATCTTAGGGAACCAGGAAGGCTGGATTTCGATCACGCCGTAATCGGCTGGACAGGGCAGCAAATGACATACTAGCGAATGACATACCAGTGCGACGCAATTGTGGTCACACTGCAACGCTGAACAACCAACGCGGGATTGAAACAACTGCTTCGTTTGGGACGGGCCACTGCTTTGGCCCTGAACCCAAAACATGTGGCTTGCCACCGTGAACCAAGCCCTCGAACCCGGAGCGAGCAGCAGCTGGGTTAAAATGTCCGACGCGATGCAAGATCTGAAGAGCAGAATGAGATGGGGGATGGGTGGCAAAAGAAAGGGGGAGGCGCAGGAAAAGACTGAGGCCGGGTTGAAGATGAGAAGGAACAACTACACCTGAAGACTCCGACGGGCCTGGCCAGGCCAGCAAATGCTCGCCGAACCCGCCAATGGGCATTCAAACAGAGACGCCAGGGAATTGCATGCGGCGCGCAACAAAAGATGTAGCTGCTCGGGAAGAGGAGGAACAGGAAATAGACTTGTCGCATGGCACGGGCCTATCACTAGACAAGCGCGTTCCACTACTCGCAAAAGCAACCGCTTGCACATGGCCTGGATTCGCCGCGGGGGTTTACGATCAACTACATCGAGGCAAACATGTGTGTCTCGGACGTTTGCGAGTAGGCGATCTGCGACTAGTGGAACGTTCTCGGTGAATCATGGGAACCCGATGACACCCTCTCGCTCGATCCGCCCCAGAGCTCTCGTTTCTACCGCTCTCTCCGAGCCGCGTCCGACCACGGCGACGAGGGGGGCCCCCGAAGGGCCCGAGACGGGGAGCCGCGCAGGCCGCCGCTCCGCCACGCAGGCAGGCCTGCGATGAATCGAACCGCGACATCGGACTGGATCGAAAACGAAGCGGCTCGCCGGCGACTCGTTCCGAATCCGATCGAAACCGCGCCGCCGCGCGCGGCTCGGGCGGGCCCCGGCCGATGCCGGTGGATCAAACAAGCTCGGATCGAATGGGCATCGCGGCCTCGGCCAGCGGATCGCATCGCCTCGACCTCGGATCGTGGGCGGCCCTGGCAGGCAGTGCCCCCCCCGCGCGCGCGGAGGGCTGCGGCGGGCCACACGGCGGGCAGGAGGCGACCGCACCGAAGGGCGCCCGCGCACTGGAGGCGCGCGGCAAACGCCCCCGCCTCCTCCTCCTCCCTCTTCCTCCACCTCCTCCTCCTCCTCCTCCTCCTCCTCCTCCTCGTCCTCCCCCCCCCTCTTCCTCTTTAACCGATCCCCGGACTCATCTCCGAAATCGACCCCCCAGACACATCCCCGGGGTGCATCGAGCCCCGCAGGCCGCCGCCAGCCTTGACCGCCTCGGGGAGGATACCGCCGCCGCGGGGCCCGGCGGCCTTCAGGCAGCGCCCCTCGAGCGGGGAACTTCACAGACGGGACGGGCACGATGGCCGGCGACCCGGCGAGCGCAACCCTTCCCAGCGCGGGCAGAACTGCGATGCCCGCAGGAGGCCCCTCGAGCGGGGGCTCCACCGACGGGAAGGGCACGATTGCCAGTGACCCGGCGAGTTCACTGCTTCCCTGAGCGGGCAGAGCTGCGATGCCCGCAGGAGGGCCCAGACTGGCCAACCTTGGCAAAGCCTCGGCGAGGTTCCAAGGCATCCGATGCCGAGTGCCCATTGCAGTGCAGCTGGCCCATCTGAGCAGCGAAACCAGACCATTGCGGTGCCGCTGCCCCGTCTGAGCAGAGAAACACGGGGGCCCTGCACACCGCGACGCGATGACCCTGCTTTGGTGTCCGTTCCATGGGAGCCCACGTGGCCCCCAGCGCTGTCCAATTTGGGGCTGGTTTGGAACGGATTCGGAACACATTGGGGACCCGATTTGGACAGGATTCGCCCCCTCAGCAGGGAGACGAAAAGCCCCCTCAACAGGGAGACGAGAAGAACCAGGAGGGGGAGGGGGAGCAGGAGGAGCTGGAGGAAGGGCCAAAGGCTGTCCAAAGGCGGTCCACATGCAGGAACAGCTGATGTCAATGTCGCCGCTCAAGGCTCCCATGATCGGACATCCAACCCTGCGCGCCGCGGCCCACGCAAGCCCACCCAAGCGGCACAAGGCGCCCGCACGCGACCTGGTGCGGGCAGCTTGCGGGGAGTGAGTATCCCGGCGGCCGGCCCTACTCCTGCACTTCGCCGATGTGAGATGGGGTTGACGGACGAAGAGAAGCAGGCATAAATATGGACTGTCGCAGCTCCCCGTGGATCTCTTGGGTCGGCGCCTCTGGCGTAGCCCCTGGCGGGCTCCGAGCGCCAGCCAGGGGGGGTCCAGTGCCGAGCCAAGAGACCCACGCGGAACTCCGACAAATTATGTTTGTGCCGGCTCTTCGTCTTCGAGAAAAGGGTCCCAGAAGACACGGGTCCTTGGATAACCAGCCTCGAACTTATCCCTACCCCTAAGATTGACGAGCCCAAAGGCAACAACAATCTAAGGGATGCGCCCGTAGAAACTGAGGGGATCCTTCTTGCTCTGCCCTCCCCTCCTCCTCACACCCCCGACACGGCGCAGAGTACCAGCGCATACGTGCGCGAACCCTGGCCAGGCCCATCCCGGGCCCCGGACGGGCGACACCAGGCTCGGTGCAGCTGCGTATGACTGGCGCCCTCCGACTGCCCCCTCGCCCCCCCGGGCGCGGGGCGGGGCCGCCGCGGGGCCCCGCCTGCGAGAGCAGGTCCCACCTGGGCTCGAGCTCCCGCTCGTCGGCGCCTGCTGCGGCGCCCCCGTGCGCCGCCGCCCCGCGGCGGGCCCGATGGCGGCGGCGGCGGCGGCGGCGGCGGCGGCGGCGGCCCCCCGACCTGCGCCCGCCGAGCCGCCCGCGCAGCAGGCGCCGCGCGCGCCGCGGCCGCCGACGCCGCCGCGCGCGGCCCCGCTCCCCGCCCCCCAGAGGGGGGGGGCGGGGCGGCGGCCAGGGAGCGGGGCGAGGCGCGGCCGCCGCGGCCCGCGAGGCTCGACAGGCCGTGCCGCACGCGGGCGCGGCGGGCGGCGGCGGGCGGGCGGAGGCAGGGCCGCGAGGCCGAGGACGACTGGATGGGGAGGCCTGGAAGTGGGCACCAACACGAGCACGCAAGGGGCTGCCTCCAAGAGGGGAAGACGATGCGAGATGTTGGGATTGGTTGTTGGAATCTTCGCCATCGCCGCGATCGGCGATCGCGAATACGAATGCCGTCGCTGGAATTCGAACACCATCGCCGAGATCTGGGTCATCTTCGCTCGGTGGAGGCACACCGCCGATATTGGTGTTAGCGTCAACCTTGTGGCCTCCGAGACCCGAGACGAGGGGCGGCACCGACGGCCCACGGGACTCAGGCTACTGGGCGGGTGCGCCGCTGCGCCGCTCCGTCGGCGCGCGTCGCGCCGCGGGGGCGCGCAGCGAGGAGCCCCGGACGAGCGCGCCAAGAGGCCACGGGGGGGGAGGGGAAGCGAGGGGGAGGCAGACTGAGAGAGGAGGGAAGGGGGAAGCGGGGGGGAGGCAGGCTGAGGAGGAGGGGGACAAAGGACCATATCAGACACCTGCAAGGGCAAGAGTCCAGAGAGTGACCGACGAACAGCTGGAGCAAGAAGGTGATGCACAACATACCGACAAACAAGATATGTAGCACCCCGCAGGTTCGGATAAGAGTGAGGAGGCGGTGAGGGCGTCAGCAGTCTGCGAGACTCTGGAGAAGCCCGCCGCAGGCACAACAACTTCACAAATAGCGAGCGCAGGCGCCGAATGTTCCGCTAAACCAGTGTGGGTAGGTCGCGGGTCGGTCGCGGGTGGGTCGCGGATAGGTCGCTGTTGGGTCGCGGATGGGTCGCGGGTGGGTCGCGGGGTGGATCGCGGGGTGGATCGCTGTTGGGTCGCAAGTGGATCGCGGGTGGGTCGCGGGTGGGTCCCGGGTGGGTCGTGGGGAGGGTCGCGGGTGGGTCGCGGGTGGGTCGCGGGTGGGTCGCGGGTGGGTCGCGGGGTGGGTCGCAGATGGGTCGCGGGTTGGGTCGCGAGTGGGTCGCGGGGTGGGTCGCGGGGTGGGTCGCGGGGTGTGTCGCGGGGTGTGTCGCGGGTGGGTCGCGGGTGGGACGACGACAACAAACAACAACAGCGCAACAACGCAACAAGCATAATCCTCACTAAGGATCCCCACTTCAGCCACGCACCCAGGGACAATGAATGACCGTTCGGCCCCCTCACTCTGACACTTCTGAAGCTCGCAACGTCGCGGGCAACTAAGCAAGCTGAGCAGCAGATTAGTGGGAACGCTGTCATTCATCTGTTTCACCTGGGAAAGTATATTGTAGCACCTCGCAATTGCGGATAAGAGTGAGGGGGCGGGCGCGGGAGACGCGGGCGTTGTCGAGCCGGCGGACCTCGTGCCCCCCACCTTCCTTGTCGATGGCGCTCTCCTCTCCTCGTCCTCCTCCTCCTCCTGATCTTCCTCGTCCTCGTCCTCATCGTCATCGTCATCCTCCTCCCCCACCTCGTCCTCCTCCTCTTCTTCCTCGTCCTCCCTCTCCACCCCTCGTCCTTTCATCATCGTCCTCCCATTGTCGTCCTCCTCCTCATCGGCCTCCATCATCGTCCTCCCATTGTCGTCCATCATCATCCTCTCCCTCCTCCCCCTCCTCGTCCTCCTCGTCCCCCTCCTCCCCCTCCTCGTCCTCCTGCTCCTCCTCCTTTGATTTGTCCACCGTCTCCTTACATCCTCTCTTCTTCCGCGTTCTCCTCGTCCCCTGTTTACTCCTCATGCCTCCCCCTCTTTTCCCAAGAGAACTGCAACGCAATCTTTTGTTCCACTTTATGCTCCCCGCCTTCTCTGATCAAGGCAACTCGCCAGTGCAAAGTTGCTGGACGGGCTGGTGTGGATGCGTGGGGCTTGAAGAGGTCCTTGCGGGCTCAGACGGCATGCAAAAATCCGCCGCCGCGCTTGTGCGGCATTGGTTTGTTCAGTGAACGTGGTTTAGGTCGCGGGTGGGTCGCGGGCTCTCCACCTCCACCTGGAAGGAATGCAAAAGCAGCCCGCCGCAGGCGCCCAACAAATTGGTTTGTATACTGGACGTGGTTTGGGTCGCGGGTGGGCCGCGGGTTCTCCACCGGGAACGAATGCAAAAGATGCCCGCCGCAGGCGCCGAAAAATGCGGTTTGTACCCTGAACGTGGTCGCGGGTGGGCCGCGGGCTCTCCACCTGAAACGAATGCAGAAGATGCCCGCCGCAGGCGCCGAAAAATGTGGTTTGTACCCTGAACGCGGTTTGGGTCGCGGGTTGGTCGCGAGTTGGTCACGGGGTGGGTCGCGGGCTCTCCACCTGGAAGGAATGCAAAAAAAGCCCGCCGCAGGCGCCGAAAATTGTGGTTTGTACCTTGAACGTGGTTTGGGTCGAAGGTGGGTCGCGGGTGGGTCGCGGGGTGGGTCGCGGGTGGGTCGCGGGTGGGTCGCGGGTGGGTCGCGGGGTGGGTCGCGGGTGGGTCGCGGGGTGGGCCGCGGGCGGGTCGCGGGTTGGGTCGCGGGTGGGTCGCGGGGTGGGTCGCGGGGCGGGTCGCAAGGTGGGTCGCGGGGTGGGTCGCGGGTGGGCCGCGGGTGGGTCGCGGGTGGGTCGCGGGGTGGGTCGCGGGTTGGGTCTCGGGTGGGTCGCGGGGCGGGTTGCGGGTGGAACGACGACAACAAACAACAACAAACAATAACACCAAACAACAACAACAACAACGAGAATCCGCACCGCGGAATTCCACTTCAGCCACGCACCCAGGGACAGTGAATGACCGTTCGGCCCCCTCACTCTGATCAATCAGGGAGGGTGTGACTATAGGGAGGTCACGAAGAGAGTGCGGTCTTGCACCATTGGGTGGCGTACTTTGCCTCGCTGTCTCACCTCGCCTGCACCGATGATAAATAAGAGAATGACCTTTCTTGCTAATGTCGCGGGCCGTACTTGGTCGGGACTGGAGTCGTATTGTCTTCGTCAGGGTGAAGTAGCACGTATGGATCGGAGTCTTGCATAAAAGATGTAGGCCATGGCTATGAATCGAGCTCACACCGAATCCAAGTCAGGCCAGCACCGCTCGTGGACAACACGACGAGTCTTCGAGTACTGGTCGATGGCTCCTACAGCGATCGAGCTGCTGATTCGACTGCTGTCATGGTGGCAGCAGATACTACTCGAACCTGGTCATCATTCCCCACTGCCTTGCTGCAATGTTTGGACAGAGTGCATTCGAGAAGACAATTGGCCAGGGTTACGTGTCCCGACCTATGGATGATCACGGTTTGCTTAGCATGGAGTCGAATGTTCACCCTTGGGGGCGCCGATTAAGGGACGACTTGGACTGCCTTCTTCACCACCCAGTGGGGGAACGCCTCAAAATGAATGGGACACCCCATGTCGTGTATGACCTATTTCACGACGAACATGTTAAAGACGCTTCTCGTGCGTGTGATCCTGGAGCTTTGCGAGCCGGACTTCTCTCTGAAGCATGGGCTCCCCCAGGGACCTCCACGGTTGCTCAACATCTTCCCGTGATGAGGAGGTTCAGAACGACTCCGATGATGATGAGACCAGGCTGGTATGTGGAATCGAAGGCTGCACGATGCGTTTCGACACGTTGCACAAGCTCACGATCCACGAGGTACAATCCTACGCCCTTGGACATGGATGGCCTCCGATCTTAACGACCGTCACGTTAGACAACACATACCGCTGCCTGATCTGCCGTACTGTGCTTGCGAACATCGACCACACCGTACGTCATCACCGTCGTTCCTGGCTCCAGGCTCGGCGCATACCGATTCAGACTCGCCACACATACGAGCGGGAACCCACCGAGGCCCGTGTCTGTCCCTACGCCCAGGTGTCGGAGAATCACCAGTGCCGGGCCCCCTTCGAGAGCCACCTGGTGTCGCACACCCCTCCGTCTCCTCTCGGCTGATGGCTCCAGCCTCTGACGCCTGCGGCGCGCGCGCCCAGGCGGGCCCGTCGGCTTCCTCTGCAGCCGCACAGGTCGACGCGGCCGGCGTGGACACCCACCGACACCGCGAGTACACGTTCTGAGGCCCAGCGCGCCACACGGCGCCTTCTGGTGCCGCCCCCGCCTCCTGCTGAAGAACTACCAGCTCGACGACCGAGAGCTCGGCCTGCGGCAACCGCGCCGACCACTGCACCTTCGGCACCTGCCCTCGGCCCAACGCGAGCATCGTCTGCGCCTGTACTGAATTTTCGCCCTACCGCACCACGTGAAGGACAACAACCTGCACGCCGCGCTGATGGAGAAGTCACGGGCGAACTGGCGCATCCCAAAGTCCTCGGACAAGTCTGGCAGTGGTGGCAGCGAAAGCTTGCCCAGCGGCGAGCCGAAGGCGAAGGAGGCCCAAGGGCAAGGGCGGAGCTCGGCATCGGGCCGAGGACGACCAGATGGATGAGGACGAGGGCGGGACGCGGGAAGAGCCGCGGAGGCGGCGCCGCCGCAGGGGCCAACGCACGGACAAGCAATGGACGCTGAAGGAGAACACGCACCGCACCAGGATGGCCATCGCCACGACGATCGACACGGCCCACCCGATCATCGTAGCGGTCGGGGACGAGGTCGACAGGTCGTCGGCACGCAAGGTGTCCGACTCGGCCGCCGCGCTGAAAAGCCTGGGCTCCCCCACCGCCAGCCTCACGGTGACGTTCATTGAATCGCTGGCGCAGTGCGACATCGGCGCCAAGATGAAGGGGACCCTGGAGCAGCTTCTAACGAAGGTCAACGGCTCCAACAACGTCGGGATAGACGAGGTCCCTCCAGAGCTGCAACGAGGAGAGTTCGAGCAAGATGTCCCCCTACTACGCCTAGAGAAGTGCTACAAGGAGACCGACACGAAACTCATCATCGCGATGAGGACCTGGGAGCTGCGCCCCGCCGTGTTGGCGGCCATCAGGAACGAGGGGAAGGGGTATATCCACACAGGCGTAGCCTCCCTCGGGTGGCTGGGGGAAGAGCTCTCGCGCTGGGTCGACGCCCTCTCGCAGAGAAGGTCTGAATAGGCCCGTTCCCTTCGTCAAGTCGAACTCCGCGTGAGCACCCGCGCTAAGCGAGCTTTAGCATCCCTGCTAGCCACGGGCCCACAGATGATCTGCTCCGATCTGTACACGACAGTTTTCCTGCGATCTCGCCGAGTTCGGCGAGCTCTTGGAGCCCTGATGTGGCCGTATATAAACTTCGCCTCCCTCGCCTTTCCTGTATCCCTTCTCCACCTACTCCCTCCCCCTCCCCCTCCCCCTCCCCCTCCTCCTCCTCCTCCTCCTCCTCCTCCTCCTCCTCCTCCTGCTCCTCTTCCTCCTCCACCTTCTGATGATACCTCCCCCTCCTCTCTCCCTTCTCGCCGTCCTTCACCGTCCACTTCCCCCCCGTCCTCCACCAACTTTCCTGTTGAATACCTCGCCCATGTCGCACCCCAAGCATGTCGGTATGACGGGCCGGCCGTTTGGCCTGAGTCTTCCGCCCTACGTATGATCCAGCAGCTTGCAACTTGCAGCAAGTTCACGGATCGAGGGCAGGCCGTTTTCAAAATATGTCAGTCGCCGTAGCGCCGCGCACGATTGTCTTCAAAAACGAATCAGCTTCTCGGATGGATGGCGGGCGGTTTTCGAAATGACGCTCTCGCCTCAACGCCGCGCACACTCGTTCTTGAAGGTTGCAACAGCTTCAGAAGTGAAGATCGGCTCTTTTTCAAAATGTGGCTCCCGCCTTTAGCGCCGCACACATTCGTTTTGGAAGCTTGCAGCAGTTTTACGGAGTCGCACTGTCGAAAGCACAGGAATTGTGCTCGGCCCAGATTTGGGATCGTCAGGACGCAACAGAACGGTCACGCTGATTCGCGGTGCTGAAGTCCCAGGATCTGCGTTCTGGCACGATTTAGGATTGCCAGGACGCATCAGTCACGTTGATTCGCGACGCGGCAGTCCAAGGAATTTTGGTTTGGCACGACGGGGAACTCCCAGACGGCTCGAATGGGGCATTTCCCCGTAATGAAATAATGAAAGCAAAGCCTTATAGGACCATGCGAAAACATTATCCTGACGAAGGGCCCAACCATATGCAGTTGTGGGTACCGCAATTGTGAATATCTTCTTCGGTGAAGCTCCCTATGGGGCCGCGGAGCGCTGCACTGGGTGGGGGGAAACGCTCCCTATGGGGCCACGAAACACTGTACTGGGTGGGTGACAATGCCAACTTGGGCTTCCGGGACGCATGCGGACGGTCCCACTGGGGGCCTCGGCGGAACTCCCTATGGGGCCACGAAGCGCTGTACTGGGTGGGTGAAAATGCCAACTTGGGCTTCCGGGACGCACGCGGACGGTCCCACTGTGGGCTTCGGTGGAGCTCATACTGGGGCCACGAAACGCTATACTGGGTCGGCGAAAATGCCAAATTGGGTGTGCGGGACGCATGCGGACGGTCCCACTGGAAGCTTCGGTGGAGCTTCCCATGGGGCCACGAAGCGCTGTACTGGGTGGCCGAAACTGCCAAATTGGGTGAAAGCACAACCTTAGAGGACAATACGAACAAAAAACTTGGAGGGAGGGGTCACTGCAACATCGTTGATGCGCTCGGGTTGTTCACTGGTTCTCCTCCTCCTCCTCCTCCGCCCTCGTTTTTTTTGTCGCCCCTACCGATCCTGTTGGTCAGCGCCCTCCTCGTACTGCGCCTCATGCACCTCCTCCTCCTCCTCCTCCTCCCACACCCCTCTGAAACTACTCAATGTGAATACTACTCCCCCGTCTCCCCCGACAAAGTCATGGAACTGTCCCGCCTTTTCATTATGTGTTTTCCATATGTCGAATGTAATCCTGTGGTCTTTCCCACAGCCTGGTTCAATCGGAACCTTCTCAATGTTTGAAAAGGCTGTCCCAGCGGCACAGCAGGCCTCGTTTTACGATCCGCGATGTGTTCCCGTCGCTCAGAATCGCGATCTCGCCCCAGCGCGGGCCACATCTCTGGAGCCGAGTCTTTCCTTGTCGTAGTCGCCCCGATCCTTTCCCCTCCTCCGCCCTCCCCTGGTCCTCCCGCTCCTCCCTCTCCTCCCGCTCCCGTTCGTGACCCTGCTGTTCCTCGTCCTCATCCTCTTTCTGTGTCCTCTTCCTCCTGTACGCCCTCCCATCCTCTTCCTCTATCCTCTATCCTCTTCCTCTTTTTTCTACCCTCTTCCTCTGTCTTCTATCCTCCATCCTCTGTATTCATCCTGTACCATCTTCCTCCTCCTTCTCCTTCTCGATCCTATTTCTCTATCCCGTTCCTCCTGCTCATCTGCCAGTTCCTCCTCAAATGTACGCAGCTCCCTTATTCCTGTGTGCGCATAACACGATGGTCAATGGGAAGGCATGGGTGGGAGGGGTCGAATGTCAGATCTGGCGCGAAGGCACACAGCTGGTCACAATCCCCCTCTCCCCCATCTTCCCCGTCCCCTTCACCTCTACTGCAGGCTCCTGGAGGCCTCCCTTGGGCTACGACGTCGACGGCGGCGGCAGCGGCGGTGACGACGACGACGGCGGACGGCGACGGCGACTTCGACGACGACCCAGCGAAGGCCCTGTTCCTTCTTTGAAACGCCCTGCACTGGGCGCTATTTTTTCACCGTTGTGCACTTTGGGCTCTTGACAAGCTAAAAACGCGCCCCAAAAACGCTACGTGTTTGTTCGCGTTTTGTTTATTGCATTGTTTTAGCGTTTTCAGGCCCGTCGCTGTGGATGTTCATTGTCTGCACTGCCGTCTTCGCTCCCGCTCTCCCGTTCCTGCCGCCTCCCGTTCCTCCCGCTCTGCGCGCAGAGGCCAAGGCTAAAAACGCCCAAACAACGCCCTAACACCAGTCTAACACCCGCGTGGCATAGGCCTGGAGGCCCCGAGACGGCGCAATGTTAAACGTCGCATTCAACACATCTCAGAACGATGGGAAAAAAAACGAGTCAAGACACACAACGGAAACGAGTACTTTTGTTTTGCGTGGTTGATTTACCTGCTGGGACCTGGACACGCTAACACAATGATTTCCAACACGCTGAGTTTTTTGTTTCTTTTTTTTTTGAAAAAAAAAACGCAAATTAAAGCGCTGAGGGCATGTTTGAGACGAGCCGAGGCGACGGCAACGGCGGCGACGGCGGCCCGAGGCCGCCGACGAGAGCGCGCAGGGCTGGGGGCGAGAGGCCGCGGCCGGCCTTCCACAGAGCCCCGGGCACGCCGCAGCTTGCGCACGCCTCCGGGCGGTCGAGGCGGACGACGGCGGCGGCTGCAGCGACGGCGGCGGCAGCAGCGACAGCAACGGCGGCGGCGACCAAGAACGACCCAAAAACCTGCCCGCAAAACACGACGCACCGGTTTGGGGCCGTTTTGGGCCTCCGGGGGCCGTCGCCAGGCCACCCGTCCTGGGGAAAGGGTCGGGACTTACTTCCAGGGAGCCAGTACTAAACAAAACTGGGCATCGCATGTCAAGGACGACAACTCCTGCAGTGCCGTCGGCACCACGATGGCGACCGAGCCCTACACTAAGGCACAAGGAGAGGCGCCACCACCACTAACCAGAAGAGCCAGGGGGGTCCCCCCTCCCCGCGCACGACACCCCTACCCTCGCCTCGGGGAGGCATCATGGACCTCCTCGCTGGACGTGGCGGTGACGCTTCTCCGTCCTCAGGCACACCGCGAAAGCTGCCGCTCATTCCCCACCAGGCCGTCCACTAGCGAGGGCAGCGCCAGCCAGACAGAGCGCTCCACTGGGGCGACGGCTCTCCATCGGCCTGCCTCCCATGGCGAGGAGGTCCCCAGGGCGTGGGGTGCCGGAGCGAAACCCACCTGGAGCATGGGCGCATCGTGCGCACCTCCTGCAGCTGACAAGGACGAGGAGCGAGTGAGCGCGCACGGGGCGTCCCCCGGGGGGGGACGGGCCGACTGGCGACCGGGGCGGAACCATTAGATGGCGACGCGAAGGACGAGGACGAAGAGGACGGACGAGGGGAGGCATCCGGAGGGCGAGCGAAAATGACCTCCAGAAGTCCCGAAGTCCCTGGAGGGGACTCCGCGCCCTGGAGCTCGCCTCCACCGGCCTCTGGGGGCACACTAAGGACCCAGAGCGCCCGAGAACACCGACCCTCCCCCTCCTCCTGCCTCTCCTCCTCGACCTCCTCCTCCTCCTCCTCCTCCTCCTCCTCCTCCTCCTCCTCCTCCTCCCTCTCCTCGATCCCCTCTTCGAGGAGGATGATCAGCAACTGCAGCAAGACGAGCGGTCACGTTCCCCTCTCCGCAGCCATGCCCGCGACAGCGCCGCTCCAGCCGGCACCGGCCGAGGCCCGCTTCGAGGCGGGGGAGCGCGCGGCGGGGATCCGTGGCAGCGAGGGCAGCCTCCTGACAGGCTCCAGCAGGAGGGATGGCACTTCGAGCTGTGATAGAAGTCACAGTGCCCCCCATGGTTATCATTAGCTGATTCTTCTGAGGAAAGTGAATCATCGTGCTTGAAATAGTTTTGTAATTCTTACTCGACGCGAACTGAATGATTGAACACATCCTGTGATCAAAATGAGTATCATGAAGGTAACGCGACACCCCCACCCACAACCAGCAGCGCGAGAAGCCAGGGGCCATCCTGGTAGTGTGGCTCCCCCTCTCCACGCCCGAGACACCCCCCTGCGCCGGCTCGGGGAAGGTTCTCGTGGGCCTCCTCGCCGGAGGTGCTGCTCTTGGTGGTGGTGGTGGTGCCGCAGGAGGGACGGGGAGGGGTCGGCAGGGAACCGGGATCGAGGCCAGCGGGCTGCTCTGGGGGGAGGGGGGCCTCCGGCAGTGGGGGAGCAGCAGAAGAAGCATCGGTGGCACGCCGCCGCGGGAGGAACCCATCCGCGCGCCACTCTCGAACAGACGCTGGGCCTCCTGGCCGAGAGCGACGGAGTATAGCACACCGACGGGCTCTCAGCGGCAGCGTGTGGCTTCTGCTCTTCTTGCCCCCCCTCGAGGCAGGAACTCTCTTCGCCACGGCCTCCTGGTCCATCTCGAAGTTCTGGCCGCAGCACACCCCAAACAAACAAAAATCCGAAGACCGATGTTTGAGGGGGGGGCAAGACTAGCTGGCATACCAGCGCCGCGATAAGAGCGGCTGGCTTTCCAGAATGTGGGCCTTTTATGGCTGCCTGTTTCGGGCCCTGGGGTCATCAAGGAAAACCAGCCTGGGAGGTCTGGGGGCCCAGGTCAGAGGCCAGGAGCGGGGAATCCGCGTGGACCTGCACGTGGTTATGCTTACGCAATGTGTTGTTTCCCGAGCGTAACCCATCGCCTTCCCCAAGGGACCTCTTACATGTGAGCCCTGCCTCTGCGGCTCGTCTTGTTTCAGGCCGGGCCCGCAGCAGCCTCGTACTTCTGTCCAGCACGAGGCCCCGGGAGCTCTCGACGGACCAGCTCTCCATCCTGGCAATTTCGTAGAATCCTTTCTGACCCTCCCTGAGCACGAAGCCGGCCCCCACAAGGCCGTGTTCTGACCACCGTCCGTGGCCCACGAGGAATGGGCAGCAGCATCGTCGGCATCTTTTCGCCACCACGCACAGGGTGACCCTAGTCGAGAGTGACCTTTGGTGCGCGGCGTAAAGGGGGCCGCGGGGGGGGGTCCAAACCCAGGCGAGCAAGCCACTGCTTCTCATCGCAGCCGGCGATCGGGGGACCCCAATTGTCCCGCACCAGAGGCCACTCCGGCAAAGGGCGCCACCCTCACGCACGGCCGATCTCCTGCCATCGCTCGGACGTCCATTCCTCGCGCATTTCTCGGTTCTGCACGTGCCTTTTTGGCCAGATGATTCAGGATGCTCCTCGATGGTCCTCGCTGAGAAAGGCCAGATGATTCAGGATGCTCCTCGATGGTCCTCGCTGAGAAAAAGTGCACACGTCCGAGCGATGCCAAGATCTCTTCTCCCTCTCCGGGAGACCGAGGGGACACGCCAGGACCGCAGTCGGCCATGGCGCCCGAGGCCCAGGCCGAGTGCGGGGACAGCAAACGACCACAACCACATCAAGAACACACCCTGGGGAATGTCTGGCGCATGCCAAAAGTTATCGGAACGTCGGAACCAGCTTCGTACTGGCTGTGGTCGATGTGGCGTCTCCCAGGATGCCAAACACCGACCACAACCACAACAACAAAAACTCCTGTCGAGGTCGGTGGGTTATCCCTCGGAAGCCCCTCCCCAAACATCCGCTTCGCTGGGGTTGTTGTGAAAGCCGGCGCCCAAATCTCAAGGTTTTTGTGCCCAAGCCGGCGGAGGCGGAGCTCCGTGCTGCGCGCCCAGCGGCGCAGCCCCGCGGCACCGCGCGCCCCACGGCGCAGCCCCGCGGCCGCGGCCGCGCGGGGCCGCGCGAAGGAGGCCCGCGGAGCAGCCTCGGAGCGCAGGGGCCGCGTCGACGGCGGGGGCCATCGGGCACCGCGCCGCCTGGGCTATCGGCAAGGATGCGACCCGCACCCCCCTCGAGCCATGAAAGGATCGTGATGGGAACTGCGCCGCTATTTTCGGGCTCGAGGGGCCCTTACCGGGCCTCGTCAACAAAAACTATTCCGGACGAAGAACCCGTCCCAGGGAATAGGTCGAAACCTTTTGGGTGTCGACGTCGTGAAAAATCACGACGTCCGGGGCCTGGGGACGCAAGGTAAGCATGCAAAGCTCTTGGACCTTCCGGGATGGGCGCCCCCGGATGCCTAAGCTGAGTAACGATGGACCGAGGAGGACGCAAGAGTGACCCCCCATACACCCATACAGCGCTCGACAAAAGAAACCTCACAAGAGGTTGCCGCGCCATTTCAGCGTCGCTCCTCGTTCGGGGAAACGTGAGACTCGGGTTCGGGGGACTCGGTCTGGCCTGATGGGCCACCATGCAAATGGCGCGACCCAGTCTGCAATTTGACGCGGGCTCCCGCTGCAAACGTCCCACGAACACTGGACCGTCAGAACCCACAACGATCTCATCGAAAAGCGTCGGCACACCAGAGTTCTGGCGCACTCGAATCTTACGTTTTCCCGACCCTTTCGCCCATGCAGTGTCGCACACGTCAACTCAACGTCGAAACAAACAGACGCGCGGCCTGTGCGGGTGGTGCGACCCGGAAGTGCCCAGAGGACCGCCATCATTTTGAAGGAGGCGCCCTGCGCGCGAGCGCGACATGCCAACTGCGCGACACATGCTTCTGGTCACCACCCTGCGCTGGTCCGCCCTGCTCTACGCTTTCAGCACCCGCAGCCTCTGCCTCGGCCTCGCGGGCGCGGTGCCGCCCCACGCCCACCGCCAGGACGCCACAGCAGTTCCCGGCCGCGCGGGCCACTCCTGCCGAAGCTCTTCGTGCAGTGAGCGAGTGCCCCTCCCCCCCCCCGCCCGCTCTCTGCGGCCGCCCTCCGTCCCTCCCCCGCTCGCACCGCCGGACAATCGGCACACTTCGCTGAGGCTACTGGAACTCGCGAGCGGATTGCCTCTGCCGCGCCGCGACGGAAAAATGGTTGAGGTCCATGTGGTCGAGGGTGCTGGGGAAGTGGCCTGTGCTGATAAGCAATAGAAGCAATCGCCCCCAACCTATTGAGAGGCGACTTGAATAAGGAGGGTCAATCACATTAGGTATAGGGAGTCTTTTCTGCAGATGTATCAGGCCAAACCGTCCAGAATTATAATTCCTAATTCGAAGACGGGGACCTCACTGAGGCCACGTCTTCATCGCGGTATGTGGGTCAGGGGTTATTCTGCTCTCGATGATTTGCTGCGCGGCTTGATACGCGGCCGGGGGGGCGCCAAAAGTCCGAGCGCGCAAAAACCGATGCAGGAGGAGCGCCCACACAAAAAACGAAGGACCCCGGGCGTCGTGGTGTTTTCTAAGACGAAGCCAGACGACGATAAGCAGGGAGAAGATACATCGAGAATCTCTGAGATCCGGCGGCTCTGCCGACCCTGTCGGCGTGTGCAAGGGGTTTGTCTGTTCGAGTCGTCGTCTCGGTCAGTCGTCGCCTGCGTCGCCCCCTTTCCCTGCACCCTCCTCAAGCCTGTCAGCGAGAGAAACAACTTGCAATGTCGCAATCGAATCGAGAGGAAACCCTTTCTCTTTGATCCCGTCCCCGCGCCGGGGGGGGTCACGGGGGGTTCTGGGGGTTTCCCCCCGCGCGATTCCGATACCCTCGCGCGGTCCCCGCGCGGGGTCCCTGAATCCCCGCGCGGCCTAGGAAACCCAAAGAAGTCCCCAAGAATTCTCCACGAGACCTCCAAGATATGCCTCCAAAGGCACTCCCGAGAGGGCCCGAAGAGGCAACAATTAGTGATTTTCCTTGGCTTTTGCCAAATTTGGGCGTTCTCGCCTTTTCCGCTTCTGGCAGTTCTAAGACGGCCGAAGAGGCCCTCAAGATCGCCCCCAGACGGCCCAAGAGGCTTCCAAGAGCGCTCCAAACATCCCAAGAGAACCCCAAGACAGCCCAAAATGCCTCCAAGACTGCCCAAGAGGCCCCCAAGAAGGCTCCAAGAGCGGGCCTTTACGGGGAACCCGAACGGACACTTCGAGCCCTCAGCCCCGCGAAGCTCCCAGGAGGCCCCAAGAGGTTCCCAAGAGGCCCCAAGAAGCCCCCAAGAGGCCCCCAGGACACCCCACAAGGCCCCCAAGAGGCCCACAAGAGGCTCCCGAAAGACCCCAACACTCTCCCCCCGAGGCCCCCGAGAGCCTTCCCAAGAGACACCAAGAAGCATCTTGCGTCGTCGTCGTCGCCGCCACCGCCGCCTTCATCTTCGACGTCCCCCTTCATGGTCGACGGCACCAGCCGGAAGGCCTTCGCAATCGGGGGGGGATAATTAAATCGAGAATCTCTGAGATCCGGCGGCTCTGGAGGATGTCTCGGGCGCCGCGGCCTTCTCAGAGGGTCCCCCTTCTCAGAACGTAACGCTCTGAGGGCGTTCCGGAACGCTCTGGAACGGATCTATCCTCGTCCTGGTCACGTCCGATTTTCACCACATGGACCCCAGATGTCTGGACCACATCCCACGACCGGAGTTTCATCCCGACTCGTTTTTGTTGACGGTCCCGGGGCCTGGCGAAGGCTCCTGGAGGCCGAAGCCATCCCAAACACTTTCCGTCGTGATTTCTGCTACGACGCGGAGGGGCCTGCATGGGTAAACGTCACTGCGGCGAAGGGCCACTCTTACGTACTTACGTACCACCGATCATCGTGGGCGCGCAACATATCCGTATCCGCGGCCTCGCGGGCCGGGCCCCTGGGCCGTGACCCCGCGGATGCGCGGCTTCTTTTCGTGGAATCTCCGCGCGGACCGTATCCGTCCGACCGCGTATCGGCGGGATCGCGGCCCGGAATCCGGACCGCGAGGGAGCGGATACGGATGTGTCCGTCGCTCTTGACATCGCCCTGTTGAGCACCCTGGGAGGGCGCTGGGAGCGCCCCGGGAGGGCCCTGGGAGCGCCCCGGGAGCGCTTTGGGACTCAGGAGCCAGATCCCGCACCCGAGCCTGAGTCCGAACGCATCCGTGTAGCCGATCGATCGCGCCGCATCGCCGATGTATCGCCGATGCATCGGCGACGTCGGCGTGGAGAAATCGCGCTCCACATCGAGCCGCATCGCCGATGCATCGGCGATGCGTCGCGATCCTCCGACCCCACCTTTTCGGATGCAATTTGTGTGGACGCCCGAAATGGGTACGGACAAAATGGGTACGATGCCCAACAGCAAACGCTGTCCAAAACCGACAGCGACCGCTGTTTGGCAGGCGACCTCATGTCTCGAATGGACAGCACACGCGGCGACACCGACAACGAGCCCTGCTCAAAACGAACAGGCACTGCTACCGGTCTTCGCTCCATCATTTCCGCACCCACCTCGATCGTACCGAACCTGAGAGGCCCAGACTTAGCTCAACACGTAGACTGAATACGTGGGCATGACGCGATACGTTCGCCACAAAGTGGGCCAATTACGCAATTACGCTGAGTCAGCACGCAACATATCGACACGGACGTTTTCAGCACGGTACGTGTTGCGTTCCACAAGTTACTCCCAGGACCTCTCCCGGCGTGCGTTCTAACCAGAATCTCGATGCGAATCCAGCGGTGGCGACGAGGGCCTCCCAGGAGGCCCAAAACGGGAAAAACCGGGGAAGGGGAAACCAGGGGATCCTCCTCCGAGCTACGGACCCAAACGATCCAGGACGGCGAGGGCCTCCGCGGCAGCGCCGGCCGGCGCGCGTCACCGCCGCTCGACGCGCGCGCGGCCGCCGCGCCCGGAGCGGCTGCGGGAGCGGCTGCGGCGGCTGCCCGCGCGCAGGCCGCGCTCCTGCTGGGCCTCGGCGCGGGCGGCCAGCCGTCGCGCCTCGCGGCGCTCGAAGCCGCCGTCGTCGGGCGCGGCGGCCGCCCTCTCGAGGGGCAGCGGCACCGGACAGCTCGCCATGGCTCGGACGTCCATTCCCCGCGCTGCTGCCGGTCTCGCGCGTGCTTTTTTTTGCCAGGTGGTCCAGGATGCTCCTCGATGCCCCTCGCCGAGACAAGCGTGCACACGTCCGAGCGATGCCAAGCAGAGCGGGGGGGACCAGCGCAGGGGGGAAGCATCGGCCTGGAGTCGGCGATGCGTCGACGAAAGATCGGCGACGGGCCCCCGGCAGCGAGTCCGCAGGGTCCTGGGAGGGGTGGCCGTAGAGCCCCCCTCGGCGACGAAGGGGCGATTTGGGGTCGATGCAGCCCCCCCCCCCCTGCGCGTATCCCCCCCCCCCTCCCCGTTTCGTGGCCCCTGACCTCTCGCTGGCCCTCTCCTGGGGCGGCGGGATCTAGACACGGCCACTGCCCCAGGCCTGGCCCGCCCTTGGGCACGGTGGGGCGGTGTGTGCGCCCTCCTGGCTTCGGCCGGGGAGGCATGCACACCGCTTCTGGGCCCAGGATGGGCCAGGCCTGGGGCAGTGGCCGTGTCTGGGTCCCGCCGCCCCGTCTCCGCGTTCTTCTGCTCGGCGGCGCGCGCGGCGGGGGCCGGCGCGAGGGAGGTGGCCCTCGGAGAGGCCATGCCCCCAGGTCTCCGAGGATGCGATGCTTGCAGCCGCAGGTTCTCCTTCGACCTCGACCCTCGGGGGCCGCGTTCGGGCCTGGGGACCATCAGAATTTATCCGGGACGAAGGGAGGAGGAGGAGGAGGAGGAGGAGGAGGAGGAGGAGGGGGAGGAGGAGGAGGAGGAGGAGGAGGAGGAGGAGGAGGAGGAGGAGGAGGAGGAGGAGATCGGGATCGGTCGGGATCTCAGGGGGCGCGGTCGGGATCTCTGCGGCCGCACACGAGAAAGATCCCAACGGCGGACGTCAGGGCCCTTCACACAAAGCGCAGAGCAGCCGCCCTCAGAAGAAGCACCCCGACGGGCGAAACCGCTCCGAAAGCGCGTCCAGGGAGGGCATCGAACAGGGCAGGGCTGTTCAGTGAACGCCCATGGCCGCCTGCGAAACGGCCAATTGTGAATTTCAGGGGGTTCAGGGCGGCTCTTCTAGGTAGCGACATCCGAAGCCTACCCCCACCAACCATCGACTCTCCTGAGCCGATTGGAGGCGGGGGTGGAGTTCGGATTTCGCAACGTGCTCGACGAATTCCGAACCCCAACCCTGCCGCCCATCGAGTTGCCCGAATCGTTGATCGGCGAAGGGTAGGCTTCGGATTTCGCCGCCGATCTTCCTCCCCAGACGTGACCCCAAAAGTTTTTTTCGTGACGTCGACCCCAAAACTTTCGACCTATTCCCCAAGACCGGTTTTTCATCCCAAGTCCTTTCTTGTCGGTACCGAGGCCCGGTGAGGGTGCCCAGTGCCCGAAAGTAACGAAAAGCGTCCTGTTGTGATGTTTTCATGACTCGAGGGGGTCTGGTACAACATCAGCTTTTCCGCCGTCGGGGACGCCTGCCCACCAGGCAGTTACAAAATTGACACCCCTACGGTGCCACGTACAGTCGGGGCGTTGACCTAAGGAACCCTAAATAAGGAACGAGGCCCCTTTTTCCATAAGTTAACCTTCGATTTCCTGTCGAAAACACAAGGAAAGTCTGAGGCAAGCTGTGAAACACTCCAGGGACGCGGAGCTCCTCCCCATCGACAAGGGCTCCTTCTTCAGGGCCCCGACTGTAAGGATATAACCTTTCCAGCCGCCCTCAGGGCAGGCGTCCCCGACGGCGGAAACGCTTGTTTTCCACCGTCCCCCGCCCGCTAGATTGAAGGGAAATTAAAACACACAAATAAATACACACAAATAAAAAGATTCCCCATATTTTCATATATTTTCTGGGCTTTTGTCTTCCCCACCACTTCCCATATTTTCCCATATTTTCTGGGGGATCGAGGATTAATTGTGTCTGTGTGCTCCTTTTCCTCCTGCTAGATCATGGCCAGGCCCGCCGCCCCCCCCCCCCCCGAGGGAGGCTCCCGGGGGGCCCTTCCGCACGGAGGGGCCCCCTGCCCGCCTGCCGGGGCCCCGCCTGCCCCGCGCCGCCCCCCCCCCCGCGGGCCGCCGCTGGGCGGCGCGCGACTCGAGGACGCCGAGGTAGGCGTGCTGCACCCGGACGGCGTGGTCGGGCCCCTGCCGGGGCCGGTCGTCCACGAGCCTCACGGGACGCAGAGTGGCATACGGCAGGTTCGTGTCGTGCCGACCCCAGCGTTGGTTTTTGACACCGCAGGGATCGTTCAACCTTGAACGATCGGCCGCTGCCGCAACGTCCGATCGTTCAACATCGATCGATTCTGGGTCGCCGGCGGCGTTCAACCTTGAACGTCCGCGCTGGGGTCGCCGCTGGTCGACACGACGCAAACCTACCGTACCGACACTGCACGTTCTCCTCGGAGGCGTGCGTCCGACCCCAACATGCAGTACAACCGTCTTGATATGCATCGCTTCCCGAGCGGTGCGGCCAGAAGTCGCCCGCCACGAAGCATGTGCTACACGATTCCTCGGCACGGGCGTCGCCCCTGGGGGGGGGGGGGCGACAGACACATAGTATTAGTGTGCTGGGGTGACGCCGACCTCACGCTGACCCTCTGCTTCTCTATCGTCTTGCCATCCATGCTCTCGGCGGCGTCGGTGGCGTCTCCAGGGTCCTCGAACTCGATGAAGGCGACGGACTGCTCCTGTGGCATCTCGATCTTCACCACATTGCCGAAATCACCAAATGCCCCCTGTAGCACAGTCTTTCTCACATTCGACGGCAAGCCCTGCACACAGATTCGCGTCCCTGGCTTGATGGTTCGCTTGGGTCCTTGCTTGTCGCCCGTCCTCACCATAGCATTCCCTTGGCCAGGCCAGCTTGAGAGGCCAACAGCTTGAACCAAAAGCAGCTCACGATGGAGAAGAGAGGCGGGGACAAGGAGCCTGAGGCGAGTCTGAGGCCAGGGGAGGGCGGGGGCAGAACGTGTACAGTGGGTACAGCCCACAAAATCCAACAAGTTCCTGTCCAGGACAAAGGTATCTTGGCCAAGGGTTCCAATAGGAGAAACCCAAAATACGCTGGCCTGAACAATTTCCTCCCAAAGCGTGATACCGAAATGCGCGGGCGACCGTTGGGAAGAAACCGAGGAAGAAACATAGACATTGATGCTGGTAAGGTTTTGCAGCGAGGCTTTCTGGACCAAGTGCGACTCAAGAAATCGAGAGTGCATTGGCAGCCAACGGGCTTTTTACGCGCCCCCTGCACTGTGCCCATGTGTCTGGGGCTGCGCGTTCCTCGAAACTCTGGGGTCCACAAGGGACGTCCCCGTTATTACTACCTATGTTGTGGTCGGTGAGTGTTTTTTGTTTCAGCAAGTTTGCCACGCGCGTCAAGCAACTGGGGGTGCCCTGGCGAACTGTGAGATTCTTGCGCGCCCCTCGCGACATTTGCGGCCATGCTCCGCGCGGGTGCAGGACACGCAACTTCCCTGTTGACGACAAGGGTTTCTTGGGTGGCGGGCCACTGCGCACTCGCAAGGTGCGATTGGGGGAGAAACCCAGGGTACCCTGGGCGCAGCAGTTTCTTCTGGATCGGGTAAGTCAGCGTGAACCGCTGGAAACGAAACAACTCACGGAACCCTAACGAAAAACATGCTGTGTCCTCGGTGCGCGTCACCTGGGCACATACGAATGCGGGGCAAAGGTAGGCATATCAACGCGCACATCGAATGGACGCCTGTCCCCTCTCAAGACACGGGACGCATCTTTCGTCACCTTGATCTCTCGTTATGCTCTATCTGATTGATCTCGGCGCCATGGTGACCCCCGAACGGCGGGGAATAAAGCAATTAGAACTGCGTCCTCCCTCCCCGGATCACTGAGACATCCGAGGAATAGCGGGATATATGCAACGCGAGATCCAGCTTGCCAAGAATGTGTTGCGCCCTTGGACTCTTTGCAATTCACGGTGTGGCAGACTCCGACGGGGGCCAGAAGACGATGCAAAACAATGCCAACGCTGTCGGAATTCCACGAGAGCACGACACGCTTCCTGGCCAATCGCCACAGACTTCGCAGGAGAGGGAAACCCCTCCCGGGTCCTACCAGAGCCTCCGCCACCTCTCCCTCCTGCTACTCCTCATTCTTCTCCTCCTCCACCACCTCCTTGTGCCCAAACTCGGCCTCCGCCTCCTCCTCCTCCTCCTCCTCCTCCTCCCCCTCCTCCTCCCTCCTCCCTCCTCCCTCCTCCCTCCTCCCTCCTCCTCCCTCCCCCCACCCCAGAAAGCCAGCCCCCAGTCTCGCCGCACGGAAGGGAGGCACGGGTGCTTGTCGGTGGTCTTCGGGTGCTTCCGCAGGCGCGCCACGGCACGGGCACCCGCCCCCCCCCCCCCGAGCGTGCCACGCCCGCGTGCACGCACGGCGAGATCGGCACGCGGAGCCCATGGGCGCGCCCGCGGGCGCAGGGCGCGGGCCTGGCGTGCCAACCCGCGCACGGCAGGGCGCCGCAGCCGCACGCGCTACCGGCCTTCGGCCCAGGCTGGCCCCGCTGGGGTGCACCGCAGCCTCCCGGAGCGGGAGGGGGGCTCCACGCGCCCCCGCCCCCCTCGCAGCCCCCCCCCCCCGGGGGAACGAGAAGGTCACGACACCGCAGCTCCACGGGCGCCTCTCCCGAGATGCCTTCTGGCCAGAACTTCGCGGAGAGTCCGGCCGTGGCGACGAGGAATCTCCAGGACGAGCAGCGGCATCGGTGTCTTCTCCTCCCTTGACCCCCGACGAACGCGCGAGGAGATGGCCAGCGCGCGGAGCGGGGAGCGCCAAGGATTGAGCAGGGCAGGGACCAACCGTCCCGACAATGCTTTAGGCCTACGACGTTTCTTTCAAACAAAAGGGTGCCATACGCCTGTGAACTAAAACAATGCTTTTAGAACAGAAGTCCGATTGATTAAACCAAGACGGCCTCAACCAGAAGTGCTCTAAGAACATGGCCTGAAACCACCAGAAAGCATGCTTTTAGAACATAATTTGGTGGGCGTATCGGCTAATCAGGACACTTCGCCGCTGCTTGAAAGGAGGCGAGGCAGAGCGCCCCGAGCCAGGCACACTGGCAGGGCGGGCAGGAGAGCTCCAACATCGAATCGATAAGTCGGATCGGCGATCGAACCTCATCGGATCGGCGGAAATCGGCAGCCAAGTCGGGAGAAGTCGAATCGGCGGAAATCGGCAGGCTTGTAAGGCCCCCGCTGAGAGGCCGAAACTCAAATCGGAATCCGAAGTCGAGTCAGGTGAGGAATGAACTGTTTTCACCTTGACACGCGTGGCCCCCCAGGACTCTGCCACAACCTATAAGTTGCCTTGCTCGGCTAAGCGCTCTGGGCATGCTACGGAACATACAATGCAGCGCCAACTATGTTGTAACGGCGCTCTGTGTTATCTATGATGACTTCCATATGAATGGCCACGCAAGCTGTGGAAATCTCCAGACGGGTTAACGTTACCACATTATTGGTGCGCTGTTGGATGTATGGGGCGACCAAGCAACAGGAGCAGCGCCCAAACCAACCTGCAACAACGGCAAGGAGAGAAGCTCCGTGAATGACCACGTAAACTAAGAGTCCCGACATGAACCACTGGAGGGGAGGGAGAAGGAGGAGGAGGAGGAGGAGGAGGAGGAGGAGGAGCAGGAGCGAGGGAGAATGAAGGGGAGAGAAAACACCCACAGAGCAACTCGCGCGTGCGTAAATCGGCCAGGCCAAATGGCCCTCGCACAGAGACCCTCGCGAGCACAATTCAGGGAGAGAAGGAGGAAGGAGGAGGGAGGAGATACGAGCAGGAGGGACGGAGGAGAAGGAAAGGGGACACCGAATTAGTGTAAATAGGACGCCCCATTGACCCATTGAAGCTGCCAGTATATCTGAAGACAGCGCGTCTGCTGAACGCGGGTTTTGTCGTCGGAAAGCAACAGCGGCAGCGGCACGGCAAGGAGGAGAGAGGGAGGGAAGGAGCAGGTGAGAGAGGAAGCGGGAGAGCGACGAGACGACCAAAAATCGCAGGCCGCCCGACGAGGAGGCCCCGGCCAAACGCCCAGATTCACAACGTGCAGAGGGGGGCGAGGAGGACATAGGCAGAGGAAGCGAAGCTCGGGCCCACCACAGCGGGGTTCGGCGGAGCTCCGCCTCCGGTAGACGAGCGCTGGAGGAAAGAGAGGAGAGGGGGCGCCTTGAGCCGTTGAGGCAATGCGGCTCCTTTCGGCGTGCCTGCCTGCTGACGCTCACTGCCTAACTGCCCAGATCTCCACCCCAAGCACGACTACACCACAGGCCATCCGGCACCGTGCTGCTGAGCGCGCGAGCGGGCGGACACATCCTGCCCCCCACCTGGAGCCCACATCGAAGTGTCATCTACATGTGGTAACGGCGCTCTGTGTCCGCAAGTTGGTCGTCGTAACGGCGTTGTGTGGCTCCCGCCGCTCTGTCATCGTCAGAGTCAGCTTAAGTCGAATCGAATCGGAGTCGAAATCGACCGACGTCGACGCGCATCGGGCCGGAGGCATCGAGATGAGAGCCCCGGGCGGGCCGCCGCGCGCACCTGCCGACAGCCCCGCGACCACTAGGAGGCAGGCGCCGCCAGTGTAGAGCGCCAGGGCGCGGCTGTGGTCCTGCGCCGCGGGGGGCCGCGGAGGTCGGCCGGGTGGTACCTCGGGGGGCCGCGGAGGTCGAGCTCCGAAAGTTCTGTCTGGCCCCTTGCTCGCTCTTCGGACGGCGAGCGGGGCTGACAGGGGCACGGCGCGCGGCCGGCCCGCCAACAGGAGCACAGCGGGTGTTCGCTCGCGCTCTCGTCGGGCGGGTGATGGTGGGAGGTGGCCTAAGTTGCAGGTCAGGAAAAGGGCCCTACAAGGGGCCCTGTAGGGCCCCTGCTGGACCCCTTGAGAGCCCTTTCAGGTCACCCCCCATTGCCACCCGCCCGAGCGGAGGGGGCTGCAGGGAGGACCAGCACGGGAAGGCGTCAGTCATGCCGGGCGAACACATCCATGTCCGTGCCCTCGCGCTCTGGACTCCACGACCGATCGGCTACACGTAGGAATTCGGGCTTGGGCCCGGGCTCGGGTTCTGGATCCCGGGTCCCAATGCGCTCCCAGGGCGCTCCTAGGGCGCGCTCAGGGACATCTCAAGAGCGGCGAACATATCGGTATCCGCGCCTTCGCGGTCCAGATTCCGGGGCGCGATACCGCGGATACACGGTCGTAAGGATACTTTCCGCGCGGGGCAGCCGCGAAAAAACGTCCCGTGCCCGCGGGGTCGCGGCCCAGGGGCCCAGCCTGCGAGGATACGGATATGTTTTGCGCCCGCGACCATTGCCGGATTAGGCCGGATTGGCCTAGGGATTAAGCCGAATTAGTCGGCATTGCGCGGTGCTCAAACAGATTGTTTGCCAGCGCTGATGCTGAATTTGGCCTCCCTGGGTTGCATCATGAGGCGTGGTGAGCAGAGAGGAGGGAAGAGGGAGGCGCAAGAGAAGAGCATGCGAGGGGTGCGTCGGCCGTCTGATCTCCAAGCCAACAACGGCCTCGTTGGTGCGCCAGCTGGGAGCAAGCTAGAGCTGGGAGAGGGCGCAGACAGAGAAACGGTGGAACGAAGGGAGCGGAAGGAACGGGCCTGGTAGGAGCGGAAGGGGAGCTGCAGCGGCAAGCAGGCAAGGAGGTGGGCGGAGAGAACGGATACATGAGAACGATGTAGACTGTTGCGACTCGTATAAAATCAGCACTGCACAAGTGTCTGAACTCGAACGCATTACAAGGGAGACGTGGAGCAAGCACGGTGCGGCACCTGCGTTGAGCGCCGCACGCGGGCCTTGCTGGAAAAACAAATCGCCGAAGCACCGATCCGTGCTGTTCTCCGAGCCCGATGTGCCCGGCTCTGCCCGACATCCCGAAAACTCAACACGACTGTCCCCTGCCAGGGCCGTCATGTTTCCTCGGATGGGTACACAAGGCCGCGGTCTTGCCCAGAAGCGTCTCTGCGCAGTTCTGGGGTCAAGGGTGACCCTGGCCAGGGGTGCGAGGTGGTGTCATGCTGCCCTCCGCCGGAACGCAAAGGCGCGCGCTCCGGCGGCCTGGCGAGCCCAGAGGGGCCGCCCCACTCACAGCGGCGGGGGCGCCCGTGACGCGACGGGAACCAGCTCGCCGCTGGCCACGCGCACCTGCCCCCTGAAGACCTCGTCGAGGCCCGCCTCGAGCTCCGGGTGCGTGCCCGCGAGTTCGGCGCGCACGCGCCGCGCGGCGAGGAGGCGCTGGGCGAAGGCGTGCTCCGCGGCCAGGCCGTCCAGGCCAGCGACCTGCAGGTCCCGCAGGCCCCGCAGGTGGTCCCCGATGACCGCCAACCTCGCCCTGTGCGGCAGCCGGGCGAGCTCTCCGGGCCCTAGCAAGAACCGGCCGCCCACTCCAGCGGCCTGCAGGGCCGAGACGACCTCCGCTACCTCTTCTCAAGAAGAACAAACAAGAGGATAAGCATGAACTTTCGGAGGCCCGCGCAAATGGGCGACGATCAAACACGGGTCTTACGCGAGCTGACACGGCGACATTACGCGGTGGCTTACGCGGGCCGCCGGCGCTTCACGCCACATTGGAGACGGGGGCGCTTACGCGCACCCTTACGCGTGCAGCTTACGCGCCAATGTCGGCGCAGACGACCCTGTTTTTCTGCGTCGCTCAGATGGCATGGATCAGCACTAGACCCCCCCTCAGTTGCGCGCGGAGCGCGCCAGGGGCGGCGCCGGAGGCGCCGCCAAGGGGGCCCAACGCCTCAAAGAAATCCGCACGGAGCTCCGAACAGTTTATGTTTATGCCGTTCTTTGTCCTTCGTTTCTCCAAAGCGGCTGCGGATCATCGCAAGCTCGGGGCAGTCGGCGGGCACCTCCTGGCTGCCCTCTGGCCTCTTAAAACCGATCCCCTGCAGCAGCGCAGCCTGCAGCGTCTCTACGTCGCGCACGCCACGCTGTGCCAGTATCAGCGCCGTCGAGCAGCGACGGATGATCTGGTCTGCACCGCCGCTGCTACGCCTCGCCATGAACTCGGCTGCCCGCAGGAGCGAGGAGCACGCCTAGAGCACGACAAAACTACACAAACATGAACTTTGCGGAGCTCCGAGCGGATTTCTTGGATCGGCGTTGGGCGCCCCCAGGCGGCGCCTCCGGCGCCGCCCCCGGCGCGCTTCGAACGCCATGGAGGAGGGTCCAGCGCTGATGCAAGAAATCCGCGCGGAGTTCCAAAAGTTATGCTTACTCCAAGTTTCGTAATTCGCTGGCCCAACGGGCCAGATGCGTGCTAAGATCTCTGGTAACTGGTTAACAATATTTCTAGTTCGCGCGCGCGGGGCGGCCCCACTGGGGCCCCCCGGACGAAAAGTACCCCGGCATCCCGGGAGAAGCCACCAGAGCACTCCAGGGGAGGGCCATTTTTCAACACCCCTCAGGAGGATCGTGGCCTCCGAGGGGAGAGCCGCAATTGACTACCCCCCCTCCCGCCCCAAGAGGCCCCCCAAAGCCCCCTACGAGGCCCTGGGGGCCCCCAAGACGTCGCCAAGGAGCCCCAAGACGTCCCCAAGAGGTCCCCAAGAGGTCCCCAAGAGGCCCCAAATAGGGCTCCAGGGCCGGCGGAATGAGCGAAGCGATTAAATAAAAGGGAGGGGGTCGCAACCCTCCCAGACGAGCATTTTTAGACCCTCCCCAGACTAGCCATGAAAGGGCAGTCTTTTGCCCAGACCCCACTCCAGACAGTTCCAAGCGACCCCACCCCCAAACAGACCACCCGCTTTCATTGTGAAATCCGAAGTGTGCAGCGCTTTCTTCTTCTTCGAGCGCCTTGTGCTCGGGCAGCTCCTCAGCCTCAGCCCCGTCGCTCTCCAGGGGGGCAGCCCTCGGCAGGCTGCTCATGAGCTCCAGCTCCTCGAAGTCTTGGCTGTCCTCGACCCTCTGCAGTGCCCTGCGCTCCCAGTCGCCCGGCTCATAGCTGGGCGGCAGCGAGACCTCTTGGTGGAAGCGGCGCTCGAGGGCGGCGTGGGTGCCCTCCAGCGCCCTCACGAGCTCGCAGGCCCACGCCACATAGCTCTCTACTCTGCGCTCGCTCCAGCCCGGGATGCCGTGGCGCAGGATGTCCCAGACGTTGTGCAGCTTGTCGGCAATCCTGACCAGCTTTGCCTTCAGCGGCAGCGCCGAGACGCCTCGCAGCTGCGCCAACTTGCGCGTCGCCGGGCGCAGCGAGTCGTCGTCGGTCAGGCTCTCCACAGCCCGGGCCACCTCGACGCCGAAGTTCGCCTGGAGCTCGGCAAACGTGGTGTCGGTGTCCTCGAGGGTGTCGTGGAGTAGAGCGACCTGGAGCACGGACACGTCGCGGATGCCGACCTCGGTCAGGATCCGGGAGACCGCCAGGGGGTGGGCAATGTACGGCGTGCCGCCAGGGTCCTTGCGCACGTCGCGCCGGTGCTTTTTCGCAGCGAACACCATGGTGCTCAGCAGCTTCAGGAGCGGCCAGAGCTCATTGGTGTCGCTGGTCGGCAGGATGCGCGGAGGCTCTGCCAGAGGCGTCGCGGCCTCACCCCCCACGGCCTTCGAGAGGATGCGGCGGACCTCGGGCCACCTGTCACTGGACCCCTCGACAGGCTGCCCAGCAGGGTCCAACACCTGGCAGACTTCCCCATCACCGTCTTCGTCGTCCTCGTCGTCGTCTTCGTCGATGCCGTCGATCTGTCCACATATGGAAGTGACAGTGGGGTCGTCTCCGTTGTTAGCTATCTGCACAAAGGCATCGACATATGGTAGCAGCCGTCCCACCGCGCGGGACATCTTCTGCAAAGAATCGTTCACCTCGCTGGCTATGGCCACCCGCCCCTGGAGTCCGCGGCTGGCCGCGCGGCTGTGGATCATCTCCTCTCGGCTGTGGATGTACAGGAGCGCGATGCGGACCTCCGGCAGGGCCTTCCTCACCTTGTCAAGCACGCGAGCGTACCACGACCCGTGCCTCAGCGAGCTGTCCACGAGGATGCTGCGCCTGTCCTGCAGCGCCGCCACCAGGCTCAATTCTGTGACCAGCCCTGCCTCGAGCTTCGTCATCAGGGCGGCGCTGGAAGGTGCGCGCTCCCAGTAGCCAGACCATTCGGGCAGTCGCTTGGCCATGCGGTCAGGATCGATGAGGACGAAGTGCTCCAGCGGCAGTAGGCCTCGCTCCTTCATCCACTGGATCACGAAAGTCTTGCCCACCCCCATTGC